GTTGCTAAGTATCTTAGCAATATATCTGGATTTCCACCCTGACACGAGCAACCTGGGACACAGACAGCTTCTAAATGCAGGGCAGCTGGGGGTAAGGGCAGTGTGGGGAGAAGGGGACAATAGAGGGAGGAAAGCACTGTCAATTCAGGGGTGACAGACCCAGGGCCCGATGCAGTGGCTGCCACAGGAAGAGCATAGGGACACTAGGAGGAAGGGTGGCTGAAGACACCCAACCACCCCTTCGCCACTGACCAAATGACCCTGAGGGTGCAGGGGAGGGGCATGGGGTTAGAGGACAGGAGAAGCAGTTATAACCCTGGTTCTGTGGCCCACACACTTGCATATTAATAACGTAGACATGTTATTTCACTTCTTTGGACCACAGTTTCCTTATCTAGGAAATAATGAAGAATTTTAATCAAACTCCTGAGGTCTGGGCTGCTTCTCACTGACCATTCCTAGATGTTGGGCTCCCTGACCCACAGCCCTGACCATGGCCTCTCAGAATTGAACCCTTCCCTTTAGATGACCTGGAGCAGAGAGCTACCTGCTCCCGAGCTGGCTCCCTGCCAGCCTGTGCCCACAGCCACTGGGCCTGCTGTTTCCAGTGGGGCCTGATATGGGTGCTGGCTCCTGAGGGAACGGGGTGCATCTATCGCTCAGTCTTCATCATATTTTGCCCTCTACCATCCCTGCCTCCACCACCCCCGTTTCCTGGGACCCCACTATCTCAGGTACAATGTAGAATAGTAAAGAACAGCATGTTCTCTCGGAGCCAGAGTTCTAGGGGTCAAATCCAACCCAACCATTACCTGGCAGTGTGATTTTAAGCTAGATATGTAACCTCTCTGAACCCAAGCGTCCTTATCTTTAAGATGGGACTAGTAATCATAATACCCACCTCAGAAAGCCCTTAGAATAGTGCCAGTTGTAGCAGCTATTATCTTTATTTTTACTACCTCCTTCTTCAGCGAGTAATCCTAACTTGTGAAGCTCCTGACCAAACAGACATGGGCCCAATCAAAAGACTTCTGAGAAGGGAAAGGAGGTTCCAACCAGAATTGCACCAGTAATATGCACAAGGAAAGTCATCCTTTGGTGACTTCTCAGCAGCCCTGGCAAGTCAGAGACAGAGAGGGGGCACCCATGACCCACCAGCCTCCGAACTTGACCCAGGAGGCAGGAAGCCCGAGTGTCTCCTCTATGTGCACGCAGCCGGCTGTGCTGTCGCCGTTTCCACCGCCCTCCCTTACCTCCAGAACTTCTCTCCGGCAAAGATGTATGTCTTCTTGTTCTTGCTCCAGTTAAAGGCAGCATCCACTCGTTCAACGTCGGGGGGCAGCCCCAGGTTGGTCAGCGGCTTGGGGTACCCTGGCTCCAGGGTGCTGGCTGAGTAGACCCAGTATTCATTCCCTGGGGTGGAAGCAAAGGGTATGTTGGTGACGGGTGCTGAAGTGCTCCAGGTCAGCCTGTTTCTCCCATCGTCTCAGGCCATTCTCAACAGGGACACTAGATCCTGTTCACTTCCAGAGTCAGAGCCCAGATCAGGGTTCACATAGGCGGCTTTACAATTGGGTATAAAAGGTGCCTGGTCAAGGAGGAGAGTGGGGGATGAGCTGACCCCTCGCTCGACTCACCAAGCCATGCTCTCTAAGTGCCACACCTGCCATGAAGAGGCACCTTTTTCTAATTTGCACAAAGGTGCCCTGTGGGCCAGTGCTGCCCTGACCATGACCCATGATAGTTCTGGGTTGGAAGAAATGGGGAGCCAAACTGGGGAACATGCACCCACAGTGTTAGCGGAGCCTTCGGCTCCTCCAGGAAGTCATCCCTATGCCCCTAGCTCCGACCAGGGCAGGGACCCTGCCGGTCCTCCCTCCCAAATCATAGCCCTTACTGCTCTTCCCCATAACAGTCTGGTTTTCTGTCTTTCCAACTGGTTTCTGAGCTCCGTGAGGACCGGGGCTAGGTCCCCGGCACATGGCAGGTGCTCAAATAAAGGCTGAATGAGCAGGGTTCTCCAAAGGTTAGCCATGTGACCCCTGATGATTTTTACCACTTACAGCTACTCCTTGTACAATTATTTACTTAACATTTTACTTTCAAGGAGTTCATTATGAAATCTTTAGAAATAGCTTACTTTAAAATTTAAAAATGAAAACAAATTGTTTTTTAAAAAAATTCTAACTAAAGTTGTTGCCTGCCAAAGGCTCTAGCTTTAGAAAGGTATTAGAAACACCAAGCAGTAAACTGAAATTTTCCTTCTAGAAAAGGAACCAAAAGGATTGAAAAAGAAATAAAAGGTCTCAACAAAATATTAGCAAACAATTCAGCAATATATTAAGAAGATCATACATCATGATCAAGTGGGTTTCATCCCTAGTATGCAAGGCTGATTCAACATCCGCGAATCAATTAATGTGCTACACCACATCAACAAGATGAAAAATAAAACTCACATGGTCATATCAATAGACGCAGGAAAAGCATTTGACAAAATACAGCAGCGATTTATGATAAAAACTCTTAGCAAAGTGGGAAGAGAGGGATCATATCTCAACATAATAAAGATCATATATGATAAACCCACAGCTAACATCATACTCAATGGGGAAAAGCTAAAACCAATCCCCTTAAGATCAGGAACAAGACAAGACTGTCCACTTTCTCTACCTTTATTCAACATAGTTCTGGAAGCTCTAGCCACAGAAATCAGACAAGAAAAAGAAATAAAAAGTATCAAAATC